CCTTTCAAGGCGCTGGAACAGACAGAGTTACGGACCCGAGCGAGGAGTCAGGGTGGGGAAGCAGCCACAAAATGAAAGATCAATGTTTTCTGGAGGATTGATAGCACGCACATTGGGAGAAACTCCCTTCTCTTTCGAGTGGTGCTCTGGAGTCCCACATCCACCAGAATAGGCAGTCAAAACTTTGATTGAACATCTCATCTAAAGGATGGCACTTCTAACAATACAGCACTCTCCCAACACTGTATTGCAGCGTCAGGATAAACTATGCAAGTTCAAACTCCTGACTTTATCTACAACAATCCCATTTTACTACACTTTCACTGTACCCTCGAAAACTAATTTTCCCTTAAATATTTATCGAGTTCCCTCCTTTCTCTCCTGTCCATGCGTTATGTGACTGAAGCTATGCGAGAACTTGGGAACAGTCAATCAACACTGGATGCCAAAACAGCAACACTTTATTCTTGAGCTCAGGAATCCCTCATCTTGATCAGGAATCTCTCAAAGGGATATGAATACATTTGTAGGCAGTGCTCTTCTATGAATCTCAAGGCACTGGAATAGCACTCACAGAATAGGGTAGATTTCCAAAAGCAAAGAATCTTAATACAGTACAAACTTTTCAGATTGAACCAAATACAATATACGCACACTCATTTATCTAATCCTTTTGGTGGAATAAAAACAATTTAAGGCAGTGCTTCCTCTTGCTGGGATTTATTGTCAAGGCTGAACCCAAAAAGAACCATCCCAATGAAAAGATAAATAGAGGATCAGACACTCCAGCTCTCAATTAGCCCACATCTGTCTAATTCCAGAGGCCAGCAGGTTATGGCACAGGCCACATATCAATCATTCTGTTCAGTAGGCTGCTCAGAGGCAACAGGGAACAATGTTGAGGAAGGAAAACCTTTTGGAGGACAATGATTTAAACAGAAATGCAGATGTAGTGAAGCTTCCTCTCGTTGTTGTGGGGCTATATTTGCAGTATTGACTGTGAGCAAAAAACTAATTACCAACTTTTATTGAGGATCAACATTCACTAATAAAGGGAATGATCGTTCCTCAATCGAATCTAACCTCTGTTGGAAGTTACATCCAAAGCAGAACAGGACCCACTTCTGTACAATATTGCACTATGTTCTAAAATCCTGACAGCCCATGGACAGAGTTACTTATATGCGATACACTCGACATTGTCCCTGACCCCTCGATAGCCCTGGAAACAGATGGCTTTGCTTGAGCCATTTGAAAACCCTAACCTAAAGCAAAAGTGACGTAAATGTTTTCATTAATAATGCTAAATGATTGTAGGTTCAATCCCCATGTCTGGATTTTAAATTCACAAGTTTTTTTTAAAAAAAGCTCAGAGTCTAGGCCATCTCCTCAATGCTGAGGAAACACTGCAATGTCAAAGATGTCAACTGTTTAGTGGGATGTTAAAGCGAGGTCCCATCTGTCTGATGTTAAAGATCCTATGACACTGTTCGAAAAGAGAAGGGAGTTTCCCCAAATATGATTGGTCACTCACTTCACGGCTGTTTGTAGGACATTGCTGTGTGCAAATTGACTGTTACGTTCACTACAAAATACATAGTCACTCCACTTCAGACAACCTTAATGATGATGACACAAAACTGACAACCTTACTGATGACGACATGAAAATCTTGCAAAATGCTTTGAGACGTCTCAATGGCAAAATAAGGCAAAAATAAGAAAACGAGCATCGCCTTCAGTTATGTATCCAAACCATTCACAACTAAAATGTAGCTACTCCAGATCCACAGCACCTCATTTCCACTCCAAAATCTGAATGTTGGATTTATACGTGAATTTAAACTTTGATCCTGACAGGCAAGATTCTGTACCTTTGGACTGTTCCTAATGCACTTCAACCACAGGGTCAGATGTGGATCCATTCGGAGAGGAGAAAAATAGGAATGCAGTCATAAAACCTGAAGCATATGTACATAAGTACAGTATGTGGTTACCACAGCCCAAACCTCCTGTAGCTTGTTCCCCTCCTATACTGTAATTTTCAGCTACATCACTCTACTACAGCAATAATCACTGCCACAGGCGTTAGCTTGGCACAGTTGGCAGCACTCTTGCCTCTGAGCCAGAAGCTTGTGGGTTTAAGCCCCAAACAGGACTTTGCACTCACAATCTAAGTTGACACTTTAGTGTAATGCTGGAGAAATGTTGCATTGTCAGAAGCTCAGACATTTTGATGATGTGATGAGGGGTTGTATCAAATCCAAGGACTTATCTCTTCCCTTCCTGCCCCCTTCAAACTGCTGATCACTCAGGAAACTGTTCCCCGTGTAAATAGAACAACTTGACAAGGTGACTGGTATGTCCACATCTGGTTCATACACAAGTGACATCTAGAGTTCTGAAGATGTGATACACATTTTTTAGAATAATTCTGAAACGTGTGAAAAGCAATGTTTGCACAGATCTGCTTTCTGATGCTGTATGTCCATTTACTGCACTCAATGAAGGAACTCAAACATACAGAATCTTGTTCTTAACTTAAAACAGCAACACACTATCTGGCATTTGAAAGCCTTTGATCAATGCTGCTCTGGATTAGGGGTATTGCCAAGTCTAAGAGGAACTGGAGCTTGCTGAAATCTATAGGAGGTTGGAAGCCTAAATAAAAAACAGATTTGCTGCCTCTTTTGAAGCATGATGATAGTTCGGATTCAGGGTCAGGCCCAAAACCATTAAGCTTTCAGATGACTCTAAATGTGATCAGCAATGAAGGAGAGGCATTTCCTCTCATTCTGTATTTTCAGCATCCAGCCTTCTATAGACATTTAACACTTCACCTCTTTAAGTAGGCGAACAGCCCAAACTAGAGCAAGGTTCTATAGCAAGATCAAACAATTTCAAAAACACAACAGATAATATGCTTCAAGGGGACAGCTGGCACACAGACTCCCTGCAGTTGGCACCAGATACAGATTTACTTGGGCCACGTGATGGGCCAGAAGATGTATATCCATCATTAACAAAAAAGGGCATTAGAGTTTTAAGAAGTGCCTGCGGCAAATGGAATTTTAAAAAAATTCATTGCCCAACTTACTAGGAGTTTATAATTATTATTGTATGGTTTTAAAAAACTATTATATAAATGCAACTGACTTACTAAACGTTAAATCTAAAATTTCAATACTATCCTACCATCAAGTGAACTGAATTGAACTGAAGTAACTACATCTAATTGTATGATGGGATACAGATAGTGTAATATCAATGTTGAATGGAACAACAATATCAAACCCATTAGGAAACTTTTAATTTAATAGTACAACTGTTAAAATAAAGCCACGCTGCAGCACAAACTCTGGTGATTAAATTTCTTCCAAGTTTTATTTTACTGTGTTTTGGATCGAAGAAATGACCAAACTCATTGCAAAAAATGTCTCCTCAGAGTATGCACAACATATGTTGTCTTTCAGCATAACTGACATAACTCAGCATTATTGAACCGACAATAATTCTAGTTTTCTTTTGGACAATGAGCAAGACCCACCTTTAGCCAGGGAGCATTCCCGTACTGCAGAAACAAAAGGTCATTAAACAGAAGGCTTTCTGCTGACCAACAGACCAAGACCTCAATTGCCTTCAGCAATAGTCCCAATAGTCAGAGGAAGCCCATCATCTGTCATCATTGCATCAGTACACAGATTGTGCAATTCAGATAGCCACTATAATCACATATAGGAAAAACAAAGGGCAACTGCTTTACTCCTGATCACCTTTATAACAATTTAAACAAACCTTGGCAGACAACTGGAGTGTCCTACCTACCAGAACTTTGCTCTCGGCTTTGCGTCATTACATTTAATTAATGCTGTGATGGTATGTGCGCCAATACATTATGACTCAGGCACAAGATTTTATTTATTTTTAGTTGAATAACTAACATGCTTATCTGGCATTCCTTCATATCAGTGTACAGGAACTGCAAAGAATGTTGCAGACAACCTTACTGATGATGACATGAAACTGAGTGCTATTCTCCAATTTATTTTTCAAGTTGACTTGGTTGCTGCTTGCTTTTAGAGTTGCATAGTGGGTGGACAAATATTATATCATCTCCAAAACTAAAACATGAATAACTTACTGGGAAAATAACAGACCAAGTAACCACTGACTCACTTCAATTGAGACTGAAAGAATTGGCACCACTGTCATTGGAAAAGAGAGGTTGAGGGAAGACTCAAGAGGTTTTTAAGATCCCTTGGGGCTTTAATAGTCTATAGGGAGATATTATCTCCACTGGTTGTTCAGTGATGAGAGGGCATCAATTTAAGATAATTAGCAAAGCAATTAGGGAAATTTGGTGGTTTTTGTTTTTAAAAAAAGAGTCAGCCTGACTCAGTGACAGTACTTTTCCCTCCTCGTCAGAAGGTTGTGGGTTCAAGCGCCTTATCGGGACTTTGAACTCACACAGTTTAAATTGATACTCCAATGTCAGAGTTAGGGTTGTGCTACATTGCTGGAGGTGCTGTCCTTCAGATGGTTTGGTATTTTAACCACAGCTCCTTTGCATTTTGCATCAATATGCATTTTCCATCAATTCCAGAATGAAGTTTATGGTTTGCTAAATAGAGATCGTAATAGAAAGGCTTAAAATTTTCTTTCCACAAGATGGGACTTATGCCACTTTTACGTTGAAATCTTGCGAGTCAAATGCTCCTCCAGGGAACCATGAATGCACCAACCTTGTGCTACTGTTGATCAGAGCTCCTCCTGCTCTAGCATGAGGAAGCCAGATCTGGTCTCTTGGTTGAGTTCAGCTCACTTTACACTGAAGTCTGAGTTAATATCCCATGGGACTTCCCAATCAAAAAGTACACATTTTAACGGATGAGTTATTTACAGCAAGTTCCAATATAGTCAACCTTTCATCCATGGTACAGTCAATTTTCAAAATAAGATAAAGCCAAATGAATACATTAAAAAGTAAATACAAGCCAATACCTGCACGATGGTCTTTAGATCCTGAACGTAGGTACGTTCTGTCTCCAGGATTTCCTGCACAACACGATCAACATAAAGCAGTTTAGGAGTGGCAGATGTTGCAGTCGGTGATGTTGCACGATTTCTATGTGATCCCTTGGACTCCACTCGTTTAGCTGCAGTGTTTGTGGCTGGAGTTGACTGCTTCTCAACAATCGACACAGGATTCAGATTCCCCTGCCTACTGTTTTCACACTGTTCTGGATTTGATAAACCTCGTGTTGGGATTAGCTCCAGTTTAATGGCCCCGGCTTCTTTGTCCTGGCTGTTGAGGCCTAAAGGGCTGTTGGAGACGAGGGTCATCCCACTGCTGAAAGAGCAATGGCTGTCCCTGGAGGAGGCTGAGGAGGAAGTCGAGCTGTAGCTGACTGGACGGTCGCGGTCTGATGAATCCATGGTCCTCATTCCACCATAACGAGATTGTCCATTATCTCTGTGCAAAGAACCAACAGGAGCAGTTAATGTTGTCCTCTGGGAAGACATCCCTCGTACAGGTGTCAGGGTGTCAGGAGGGACATGGTACTCATCTGAAAGAGGAAAGTAAAGCAATGGGTCACGATGCAGTATTAATATAGTTTAGATCTGCATATTGAAGCCAATTATCTAGTCTCATCATTAAACAGGTATGTAAAATGGGGAGAGGCAAAGAGGGGGCCAGAGAAGGTATGGGTGTTAAACATGTGATTTGCTATCTGGGACAATAGAGTTGCTAACTAACTTCCAGGTTATGAAAATGGATCAAGAGATTTGAAAAGTAGCCAGTCACAATTTCCAAGACGGCTAAGTTCGAAATCTCAATGAAACATCAGCAGGAAACTCGACTGGTATGAAAATATTTTTTCAATCCTCCCATTAGCATCTAAAATTGATTGCTCCCCACCCGATTTCCCAGCAATTGTCTGACCCCAAAGCTTCAAAAATGATAAGCAACACAAGTTTGAAAACCTGGGAAAGGCAAATCAGCCCAACCCTTCAGGTCAACATACCAGCAATGCTCAGCATCGATTCAATATTTGTACTTAAGGTACATCTGGAAATCTGATCCATAAGTGGATCGTGGCTATGAAGCAAACAAATAAAACGAAATGTAAGACCAGAGACAAGTATGGCTTATATAAAATGTCATACAGAACTCTACTGCATCAGTGTGCACAGTAAAACCGACTGCATTTCATGCTATGATTATTAATATTATTATTATGTTTCTGGCAGCTTGTGTTCACCCTCCTCATAGGAAGGCATCAACTCATCCCAACGTACAATCCTCCGGGTGCCAGCAACCTTCCGGTCTCTCAGCCAAACAGCCATTTGTGATCAACAAAACTAAACAAGTTTGGCCAAGCATTCAAGCGGGGATGGCAATTGCAGCCAAACCACATCCGATCCTCACTCATTGCCTTCCAGCAGCACGACTCAATGATCAGTACCCATTTCCCCGTCTCCTTCTCCTCTCTAGACAAGGGACAGAGGCCAATTGTCAATCCACTACCACGGTGGATCACAAGATATTGTGCAACATCAACACTTATCTTGTGGCCAAGACATTCCAAATAACTTGCGTTTTCTTTCACTCTTTTTAACTTTTATATTTTAAAAAGTTTTTTTTAAATAAATTCTTAGGTGATTTTGACAAATGTATTTCTATTCAATGTCACGATTGTAAAGTTACACAAGCAAGAGAGTTGTACAGTATTAGCACTGAAAAGAAAACAGAAAAGTTGCGACTAAAAGCAAGCTGCAATCATGATGGGAATTGTGATTATTTAAAGGACACAGGAACTTGCCAAGAATTGAGTTTCCCAACTTGGGTCTTTTTATAGCTCTTTCCATGAAACATTTAACCTCTCAATAGTGAAATACTGTTAGTAAAACCGAATACAGAGGATCCACAGTGCAGGAACAAGGAGCAATTTTACGGCTTTTAAAAACATGAAATAGGCAGAGTAGTTTAAGAAAACTGGTTTAATAAAAAGGCCCCTAGTGTAAATAAGGAAGAAAGTGCACTTCAAACTGAGCAAGCAGCTCAATGCTTCTCAGCTGAGTGGCAGGTAACTGGTGTTCTGTTTTACGCTATTCTTCAAACAGTACCCAGTCACCCACAAGAACTTTTTATATAAAAAACAAATATATGTTTTCACCTGATTACTTAACCTAAAATGCTTACAATAATACCACTGCACAAGGGAAAGCTTCAATTCTGGAAAGCTGACAGGAAATAAAGAACATAAATCTGTACATGCATAAAAGCAACTCAAAAAAAGTAGACCTAAAAAAATTAAGAATAAAGGATTTAAAGTTAGACTTTATGCATCAGTTCTACCCTGCAGTGGGTTTGGATTTTAATGGTGTTCACTTCAATTCCAAATATTTTAAAGTCGTATAAATAGCACTTAGAGGGAAAAAGAGCATCAATGTGCCTTATGAACCGGGCTTTAACCTGCATCATTTGTACTGAAGCAGATTTCATCTTTGGTTTAAAAGTCATAACATAGGTTATTACAAATAGGCTGTTACAACACAAAAACTTAATTTCAGCTAGTTTCATTACCAAAAACTATCTTACTTAAACAAGTTATGGGTATTTTTTTATTAAAATAAAATCTCAGCGTCCTGGTCAGCAATCATTGTGTGGATATTTTATCTGTGTGGGTGCTGTGTTCTCATTTTATGAAGTGATTGCTTTTTATTAATAAGTAATAATAATCCTTACTTTCAACATTTTTTTTAACAAAAAAACAAGTTCATGGCCATGAAAATGAGCAGGAGAGATCACAAGATTCTGACTGTAATAAACCCACATATTGTGTAAACTCAGCATTATTTCACTTTTGTTGAGTTTTTAGAAAACGCAAGCAGCCAGTCAGCCCACACCCATAAGAAAACAAACATATTTTTGTTTAAGAAGAGGATTGTGCTCCTCAGACCCGATTGGAATCAGTTTCCCATCCTGACCGACGACTCCCTCTGATACAACACAGTCCCACCCTACCATTCTACAACCAAGTCCACAATCCCAGGTTATTTGGACAGCATTAGCTGCATAGAATACACTGCACAACTGCACACTAATCTAAAGGAGCAAATAACAGAGGAAAAAGCATAATACTGAATATTGGTACCAAGCTTTAGACTATTTAGCACTTAATCTAAATAAAAACAGTTTATCGACATCATAAATTAGGATGCTTCAGGGTCTTAAAATCAACAACAGCAAATCTTGACGAAACTAAAGGTGAGATTAGAATTCAATGAGCTGCAGTTCAATTTATCTCATAGTACAGCAGGTTTACAAAGTCAGAATTTATTTTCATTAATTCAGACAATGCACAAAATCAGGCTTAATTTGTGAAAAAATAGTAAAAAAAATTATGAGTTGGTCGGGGGTGGAGAGGATAGAAAAGTGCTAATTTAGAAAATGCACCAAGTTCTGAATCAGATCGTCACCAAATAATGATTTATGACAGTGATCATCTCCAATAGCCTGAGGCCGAGGGCAATTATAGCACTTTTGCCTTGGCTGGCAGAACAGGGCCCTTCCCGTTTCATACCATATCAATGTGTGCATCTGTTCACTGAGCTGTCAGAAGAGCTTGGGTGTCTTGTAGATTCCGGTCGAGCACCATTCACGGAGTAATGGTCAGTCATTCAGGTTTAAAACAGTGATTAATCTGCACTAAAAATGCATCTTAAAAGCCAGCTCTACATGCTTAAGGAGTTTGGAAGTGGATCATGATGACCATGATAAAAGATGAAAAGCAAATAGGAAGCACAGGAGTTTTTTTATTAAGTAAAGAGGTAATGGAGCAAAAAAAATCCTAAAGGTTTCAAATAGTAACTCAAGAAGTTCCTGAAATTAAGAGGATCCAGGGCCACAATGAGATAGACTTGTTGAAGTTTTCTTTGAACCACTGGATGGGTAGGCTGGATTGACTGAATGGTCGACTGCCTGAATCAGTTATTATACTTTTATTAACATCTCAAGCTTCAAAGCATACCCATCTTCCTCCACTCCTACTCAAACTGGGGAATAATGCTGCCGTTATCACCCAACTACTAGATAATTATTTGGGGAGGAAAAGTTTGCAGGGCTATGAGGAGAGCGGGGAAGTGGGATTGAATTAGATAGCTCTTTTCAAAGAGTTGGCACAGACATGATGGGCCGAATGGCCTTCTGTACTGTATAATTCTGATATTGAACCCCACCCAAATTCCCATTCTTAATATACAAGCCTAGTTAGTGAGTGCTAGCAAGCTGTTTGGTTGAGCTTGATGCTGTCCTGTCACATGCAAGTTCCAGCAGAGGGAAAATCTCATCAACTAAGCCTCAACAAGGTGCAATATTGCACTGTGGGGTCCAACGTCTTATCTCAATCCTGGAGTCAGGTGAAAGAGTTATATTCAATCACAATGACCATAGTTTCTTACTCTACCCTCAACAAGAGGGCAAGCAAGCAGTGCATCTGTACTTTACACTCACTGGAAAGAAACCATCAATGTGTATGGACCATGTCCAATTTAAACTCCGACCCTGGCAATCCCATCATTTTTATTAAAATGTTTTGATGTTTATTCAACAATCAACATCTCTTATCTTCTTGTAATCGCAACTAACATTTCACCATATTGTCAGTCTTCCATTGTGAAGACCTGAAGCAGAAAAGCACATTGTTTTTAATAAGCACTGTGATAATGGGCTCTGAATGCAGAAGATTCAGAACTAGCAAGTCATGGATGCCTCACGACTGATCCTTTCAAACTCTGCTCATAAAAATGTCATTTAGACTCCCATGAAGTCAGCATCCGAGTAGAATTCTACAGGGAAGGTCGTGACACATCCGGGATTCACGAGTTATATTTCTTTTTGTGAGTCCTGTAATTTACATCCCAATGTAATCAGTCCAATCTTTCGAGTCTTGGAATGTTCTTCTGGGAGATTGTGGGTGAAAGGTCTTCCTTTGAAAATTCCACATTCCTGGTTTCTACTTCTCTAAAACTTTACAACTAAGCAGAAATTAAATCTATTCAATTCCTCATTCTGGAGGACAATCCTCCCAGCTGGACTGCAGGTAAAAACAGATAGGAGACTGCCTTTTCATCTCAGCTTTTTGCCCAGAGAAATACAATATACAGTGATCCTCACAACGTGGATTTGCAATGTCTTTATCTTTAAGCACATCATGGAAAGGAGAGTGAACGCGACTTTATAATTCAGCCTGGGAATGATAGCCTCAATGGGCAAATGAGAAAAACACTTCACTGAACAACCCCCTCAATCTCTATTACTTTAGTATAAACCTATGCAACTTCAAAACAAATCACATTGTTCTGTACCCCCTCTCCTCTTCCCCCCAATACAAAGATAGGCAGGAAAGTATTTTGTAAATTCCTTGAATAGTCAGCCCATCGAGCTCAGCAGTACATTACATTTCACAG